ATGCGAGTTGTGGGAGGCCAAACGTCGGGCTCTAACAGGAGCGGGGAGGGCTCCAGAGTTACTGTCGTGAGGGGTGGTGACCAAGCTCTGGGCCTGCTGGGGTTGCCGGGAGCAGAGAGTTGCACCCCATATTGGCGGGAAACGAGCCACCCTAGCCGTGTTACTTCCGTCACTTCTTGCAGAGTCCGGGCCATGCGGGAAGGCGAGCTCAGCCCTGTCACGCTAGTTAGTCACAATGCTCCGCCTGTGTCACACGTGCGCCCTGTCTGGGGGTTGCACGGGGTCTCGAGTGAGAGGCTGCAGGGGGCAGGGGACTTGGCAGGGCGTGGTGCAGCGCTAAGGAGTGAAGGGCAGTCAGCAGGCGCCGGGGCGGGCGGGACATGGAGGTGCCGGATGTGGTCACGTCAGCGGCTGGCAGTCACGGCGGAGGAAAGTGCTGTGAGCGGCGCATCACTGATCGGACTGCTGAGTGCTAAATTATGTAGAGAGAATGATGCCCAGCAAGCATCTGCCAGTTGGCTTCTGGAGCCTGAACTGTGGATGCCGCTCCGGCCCCAGGTGCAGGGTTTCTCCGCCATATCACGGCGGCGGCATGCTGGGCCGGCCCGGGCGGACCTCGGCCACGGTCCCTCCTTGGTTTGCCCGTGTCGGGATTCCGTCCTGTGCTGTTTTTGAGGGGAGGTTTGCTCGTTGGGGCAAGAAATAAGCCCTTGTCTCATCGTCCTATTCTTCCGTAAGAGGGACCCCGCACGGTTGTCGCTTTACAGGCTGTGACAGATTGCCACGAGGATTTGGTTGACACTGTTCTTTTCATCAGGTGCGCAGGGCGCAGGACGGCGATGACGCAGTCACGCAGAGTAAGATCTGGCCCGGCTTACGCTGCGGCGTCGTGCGGTATCTCAGTCCTGGCGTGGATCACTTTACGGAAAAAAGGGCTTTTCTTCAGAGCAAGGATGGAGAAAAACAGCTTCTTGATCCAAGCTGACAGGTCACGATGTATACCCATTGTTGTTTAGAATAACGACAATATTGTTTTTAAGTTATGAACAGATTTATTATTATACGAAGGAGCGAATGTGGTGCTATAAAGAAGATAGTTGATTATTTTTAGATTTTCCGGCACGGCCCGGCAGGCGCTGCATTTTCCGAGGCTCGTTTATACGCATGGGGCGGCACGAGGGTCTAGTCAGAACACTGGGCTGTCGGTGTGGCAGCGCTGGCACGTGTGCTTTATAAACTTAAATTTAATCTGACTGGAAGTTAAAGAAAGAAAATGCAGTTACTAGCTGCCCCCACATGCCAGGTGTGCGACCCAGTGCAGTCTTCATGTAAGTTTGCGGCTGTAGGTTTCTTCCGTTAGGAGCTTTGGTATTGGTGCATGTTCGGGACCAGAGCATCTGTTCCGAACAGTATGGAGTGTATATGCTGGTTCAGGAAACTTAGGTTTTGGTTAGTGATTCTTAAGGTATCGTCAGTGGTTGTGGTTACGCTGGTCACAGAACAGGAGGGCACCAGGCAAACTGTGTTGCAGTGTCTCCAGAATGTGGAGAGCTGCGAGTGTGGAGGAGAGTGGGTTGAGAGCGCTGTCATGGATTGGGTGCGGCCGCCGGTTGTTGAGCAGCAGCGCCCGCCCCTCCCCCGCATTGTTAACTGCAGGGGGCTCGGTACCATCGGCCGGACTGCTGGGCGTCGCGTGGGCGGAGATGACCAGACTTCGGACGCGCAAGTGTCCCATTTCACGCCTGGTTGTTTATTTATGTTGTTTTTGGTATAGTTTCAAGCAGTGTTTTCAAAAAGGGTATTTTTGGGTGTTGTTTTTTAGTCTTTTCATTGATATAACATCTTCCTTCCATTCTCCTCAAACGCACTATTAAGTGAGAATATTTACTCTATCACATATTATTTGGTATCTACTCAATAGTGTGCTGTGTACTCGTTGTCTGCAGGATCCAGGTCTGAGCAGTTTGTTTCAATCAAAACTATTTTGTTATTTGAAAAACAAAGGAAAACTGTGCTTTTAGTTTAAGAGGAATGTTTCATTTAGTCCTTCCTTATTTTCTGTTAGACATGTGCTTGTTAGTGAATTATAAGTTATCAAGTTTCCCTGTTCTGTATACATTGATATTGCACCTGAAATTTTCGGTGTTGAAAAATCCCCGCGGCCTTGGTGATGTGTCCGGAGGCCTGGAGTCCTTACCTTTTGGTGAGGTGGGGCGAGCCGGGAAATGGGATGGCATTGGTTGCGTCACTTAGACCGGGGGCCAAAGCAGTGCCATTTCAGGACTCTGATAGTCTGGGCAGAATTGGGTTAATATTAAACTCTGTGGCAGAGGTCTGCAACCATTAGAGCAAGCCAGCACGCGTGTGCATGCTGCTGGGTGACGATCATAGCGAGACAGTTGCACAAGGCACGAGGAGCGTGTTTGGCACACAGTAGTGCGCCAGTGTCTCACTGTGAGTTTATTCCCAGCATGGGGTGTCCGCTGATGTGTTTCGAGGCTCTCGTAAGGCAATGTGGGGTCTGGGGTGGGCGGCATGATCCACGTATGGACATGAAGGCCCAGTGATGTGGAGGAGAGAACATGTTGCACGTCTGCCTGTGGCAAGCTGTTGCTTGTGGTTAGTTCTTTACTCTGCCTTCGACTACCCACTGTGAAATGGGTGAGCTGAGGGTTCACGGGTCTGCGGGATTACAGGGTGATCTCGAGGTTGTTTCTGGGTGTGAGGCCTCAGCACAGAGCCCTGTCGTGCAAGTGTCACAGTATACCAGATGTTAGTATTGATCATGTTAGTTATTGTGAATTGTTGCCCAGCGCTCTGAGGGGTGGCAGTTATAGCCTGAGATCCTACTCAATGAGCTGAACTGATTAGCTAGAGGCTGAGTATACAAATCAGTTTCTTCAGGAAGGGTGTGTGTGTTGTGTGGTTTGTGTTATGGGTGGCGCGTGCATGTATGTATGCCAATGTGTGCATGTGGGGTTGCCATGCGTGGTGTGTAAAGCGTGGGCACGGAGGGAGAGAACGCGTGCGAGCTGGCGATTCCGGCAAGCACCGTGTCCTGCTCGGTTGCTCACCCTGGACTTGCGGATTCTGAGCACGACCGGAAAGCTCTACCAGCACCCGGAAGTCCGTTTCAGGGTTCCATCGTCACGCACGGGTTGATCTCTGTTGCTGGGGATCCTTGTTGCGTGTTCCGTCCCTCTCAGATGTCTCTCATGGGCTTGTCCTTTCTACAGGTCACTGTCGTTGGGGGCGCACCGCTCGGGGAGCCTCCCGCAGTGACCACCGAGATCTCGGCGAGCTGGCCGGAGCCCTCGGCCTCGCGATGGCCTCGGCGCAGACGGGAGGGACTTGGGGGCCGCGGGCCCCTGCGTCTTCGGAGTTGAGGGGAGGCGCGGGCGTGGAGAAGTGCGGGTCAGACGCAGTCCAGGGAGCTGTGGGGAGGTGCGGTCGGACGGGCCGACCTATGTGGGGCTTCCGGGTGGGCTCGACGGGACGCAGGGGCCCTGCGGAGATCGGCCTTCGCCGAGGGAGCGGGAGCCCCGGACGCCCTGC